TATGTGATATCCGTCCACATAAAATAAATAAGTAAAAAAATAAGCTACCGACCAACCCAGCATGGTAGTGTGTGCCTTTAATCCAAATTACTTGGGTCATCCTCAACTGTGTAACAACCTGAAGGCCCACCTGGGTGACCTGAGATCCTGGATATAAAAAGAAATAGCAGCAAAACTAAATCTGAGACCCTTGCATCCCACAGTTGAAGAAATGGACCACCATAGGAACATAGTCAGCTTTTATGATTGCAACTAATAGAAAATGCCACTGTGTTACTAATACTTTAAGGCTGGGGGGGTGGCTCAGTGGTAGAGTCTCTGCCTAGAATCCCCCAGTGAGGGGCTGGGGGCGTGGCTCGGTGGCAGAGCACTATCATGACAGTTCTGATGCTATTAGTGTGTCCTTGGTGGTGGAACTTTTTGATTTGTCAAAACTTGGTGGTGTGCATGTGTTGGCCTAACCAGTGTGTCTTTGTGGTTTGAATGATGTTTGGCCTGACCTGGGTCACACTCCTACTCTGGGTATGAGTGGGCAGGGGTTAACAAGCTGGTTCCATTAAGGAAAGGATATTCTTCCAAAAAAAAAAAAGCATATGGTACTGGCAGAGGGGAGAAGAGTAAACACTGAGTGGTAGGAGGGGTTGACGGACAGCGTGGGGAAGGAGACTGACCCTTCTCTCCATCCATCTCCCAGAGGTAATGGTGGGTATGGGCTACACACGGGAAGAAATCAAAGAGGCCTTGACCAACCAGAAGTACAACGAGGTGACCGCCACCTACCTCCTGCTGGGCAGGAAGACTGAGGTCAGAGGTCGTGGGGCCTCAGGCCTGGGGTGGAGGGACTTGGGGGCCGGCAGCTCGGACAGAGCGCTGAGGTACCTTTTGTGTTCTCTCTTGTAGGAGGGTGGGGACCGGGGTGCCCCAGGGCTGGCCCTGGCACGGGTGCGGGCGCCCAGCGACACCACCAACGGGACAAGCTCCAGCAAAAGCAGCAGCCACAACAAAGGACAGAGGACCTCTTCCTCCACGTATCACCGTCAGCGCCGGCACAGTGATTTCTGTGAGTGACCCACCCCACCCTGGAAGTCTTGACTGGCCATCAGAAGCCAGCTGGGGCTCCCTACAGATGCCAGGGAAATGGATATTGTGAGGAGTTTCGATCTCACTTAGATGCTCCAGGCCAGCCTCGAATTCACCATCCTCCTGCCTCAGCCCTCCAGGCACCTGGCTTGAGAGGGAAGGAAGGCTAAGTGCCATGTGGGTGCTGGGAATTGAACCTGGGTCCACTGAGCCAACTCTTTAGTGCCAGGACAGTTTGGTACACCCGAGATCCTGCCTCTAAAAAGACATTCGGACCCCAAGCCTGTGATACTGTCTTTCTTCCATCCTGGTTGTTTTCTGAGCTTGTCTTCTCACAGCTCACCGTTCGTGTGGTCCAAATGGTAGCTAGACTCCTTAGTCAGAGGTGGAACTTTAATAGAGTCTAGTTAGGGGCCTGGAGAGATAACTCAGAGCTTAAGAGCACTGCCTGCTCCTCCAGAGGTCCTGAGTTCGGTTTCGAGCAACCGCATGGTGGCTCACAGTCATCCGTAATGGGATCTGGTGCCCTCTTCTGGTTTGCAAGTATATATGCAGGCAGAATGCTGTGTACATAATAAATACATCTTTTTTTTTTTTTTTTTTTTTAAAACAGGGTTTTTTTTAAACTGTCCTGGGACCAGGCTGGCCTTGAACTCGCAGAGATCTGCCTGGCTCTGCCTTGAGTGCTGGGATTAAGGGCGTGCACCACCACTGCGGATCATAAATAAATCTTTAAAAGAGAAAAAGAGTCTAGTTAGGATCGGTGATCTGCAGCGGGATCACAGTGTGGCTGCCTTCCTCTCACTCCACACTGATGTGGGGGCGTGGCCTTCCACAGACGTCTGAAACTTAAGTTTCTTCACTGTTGCTGTAAGAAAGTAGCCTGGAGAAAGCAGTTGAAGGAAGAAAGGGTTTATTTAGCTCAGGGTTACAGTCTGTCATGGTGGGGATGTCACAGCTGCAGGAACTGGTCGTGTTGCATCCAGTCAGGAGCCGAGAGCGGTGAATGCGTGGGTGGCTGGGTGCTGGTGCCCGGCACGCTTTCTCCACTCTTAACACAGATCAGGCCACAGCCTAGGGACAGGGGGCGGGGCTTCCCATTCCAATTAACGTCATGAATCTGTCTCTGTCTCTGTCTCTGTCTCTCTGTCTCTCTGTCTCTCTCTCCTTCTCCCTCCCTCCCACACACACACACCCACACACACACACACACACACACACACGGACCCTTCCACAGGAAGCTAATGTACACTGTCCCTTGCTGGACTCCCCAAGTGGTTCTGGGGAGTCCAGCTAAACATTTCTTTTTGTAATAAGGTCTAGCCTGGAGCTCTCTGTGTATACCAGACTGACCTGTAACTCAGAGAGATACACCTGAGGCAGACCCTGTCAAATCACTTCCATTAGAAACTGTAGCCAAGGGGCTGGAGAGATGGCTCAGAGGTTAAGAGCACTGACTGCTCCTCCAGAGGTCCTGAGTTCAATTCCCAGCAACCACATGGTGGCTCACACCCATCCGTAATAAGATCTGGTGCCCTCTGCTGGCCTGCAGGCATACATGCAGGCAGAACACTGTATACATAAATACATAAATAAAAAAAAAAGATCCTGTCTCAAAAAAACAAAAGAAACAAATAAATTAAAAAGAAGAGAGCTGAAGATAAGCGCACAGATTTAAAAAAAGAAAAAGAGAGAAACTGTAGCCAATCAGACGTAGTGGTGCACGCCTTTTATCCCAGCACTCAAGGCAGAGATGAGAGGATCTCTGAGTTCGAGGCCAGCCAGATCTGTAGGGTGAGTTCCAGGACAAGAAACCCTGTCTTGAAAAACAACCCCCACTCTCCCCCAAATGGAAAAGAAATAAATCGCAGCTGTTATAAA